CTGATCTATTTAGATGACTTTTATGTTCTATTTAGATTATTTTTATGTTCTGTTTAGAACCCATCTATCAACAAAGGCCAGATCTGTCAACAAACACTCGAGGCTTAGATACCTGTTTTCGATCCCCATTACCTTGCTTGTGCTGCTCCCATTCATGGCCTCCTCGAAGCACCTTAACTCCTCGAAGTTCCTTCAAGTTCCTCCTCCTCCCCCGATTCGCAAGCCTCAAATCAACATGAAAACAAAACGAAATAAAAGAAACGAGTTCAGAAACCCAAAGTTTGGACTCGGTAATTGGGGAGTGTCCAGTCATGTGCTGATTTTTATAGGAACTCAAAGAAACGAAATGAAAACTTGCATAGCAACTACCTGCAATCGTTCCTTAGGGGGCCTTTTTAATCCGAGGGAATGAGACCATAGTTGCCGCTCTTACCAATCCAGATTTGTTTTGTATGCATCTCGTGCCAAACAAAGAGGAAATCAATTTCTACCAAACAAAAAAAAAGAGGAAATCAAAGAACTGAAAACGAAAACCAAAAATTCGGGGAAGGAAAAGGAGAAGGAAACCCGAGATATCACTAACTCTTTATCTTACAGTTGGAGCATATTCGCCTAACACAACCGATAGGAACATCCCCAAATCCACCAGGTTTCATCAACCGCGCAACTCATCGGCAGCTACGCGGAACCGCCGTCGCCAGTCGATGGAATGATTGGAATCGTCAACTCTCTCTTCTCGTCGGCAGAAATGCGGAACCGCCATCGCCTCTCTCTCTCTCTCTCTCTCTCTCTCTCAGATTGACGACATGCAAGATAGAATGAGAATGGGGGGTCAGAATGAAGGAAACGTTTCTGGGGGACGAATTCAAAAGACACGCAAATTTTTGGCGGAAAAAAAAGCGCTATTCTGAGAAGGTAAAAGCCAAATTTTAACAATTTTGAATTTTCTTTTTACGTTGCATTTTGCCGCTACCATGTACACTTTTTCTTACTCATTTTTGTAATGAATAATTAGAGAATGGATGGTTATTACTTTTTTCAATTCACCACAAATAAAATTTATCATAGTTTCAATATTAAAATATGAAATTAATTTCGTATATAACTGATAGACCCAATATCAGGGACGGAGCCAGGATTTAAAATTAGGGGGGGCTGACAAATATTTTTTCCTTTTTCCCATGATATACTGAAGAAGTTGACGAATTTTTTCTCCTTTAACAACGGAAAAAAATACATGATTAATAATTCATGGATAAGATTCCATCTTTTATTGCAATCAAAAACAATTACGGTCACAAGGACATTCATTGAAATCAAAATTGAAATCAATTTGGCACAACATTCTGTAAGTTAATGGTGTTGGTATCTACTATTGGTTAAAACATTGGGTTTGGGTGCTCTCCCCTCCAAAATAACCCCATCAAACCAAATTACATCCATGGAATGGTTTCTTAAAGCTAAACCCATGTGGATGGCGATTTCTATTTGCTTACCTCCAACCAAATGATGTATTAACACATTACACATCATCACCTGCCATTTTCCATGTGTACGAATTATTATGAGCAATTAGTTGATGGATGGTAATGGACTCCTTACCTGTCAACACCAACGTGGCCTTAAGCAAAAATGAGGTGGAAATTCTACCGCCCACCATTTACCACATACACATGAATTAAAAAGATCACTTTCCCATGCCTCCACATACAAAAGGCAAGGTGGATGGGTGTGTTATTTACTCTCAATTAGTTTGAATTTAGCAAGAGAATTGGCCACAAAAAGAATCTCAATTCATCACTACCTACACTACTACACGTGCCCTGATGAGAAGAGATGTGGAGCAGGCAATTTTGATTATTGCCATCACAATAACATTTCCCCATCTTCCACATACTTATATACATGGGTTCTAGAGTCTAGAGATTAATTAATGCTGGAGTTTTACAATCTTTTCTTCATTCAAAAAATGCTGCTCTCCCCTTAATTTTCGTCAAGGATAATGTAGTCATTTTATTCCCTTGATTCCCCCACTTCCCGCCCAAAATCATTAGTGCAACTGCGCCATAATACTAATAATAGACAGTTTCAAGGCCTCCTCATTCAGCCTTATCTTAGGCCCATTAATAAAGCCCATTTATATATTATCTCGGCCCATTATCGCATAAGGGATGGTGCATAACTCTTGATAAGAGAGCAATTTCAGAAACCACATCCTAAAATAGAAAGTTTGAATGTAATTCTGACAAAAATAAGGTATTAACCATTTTATAATTTAGTTACAATGTCATGATCCAAATTATATTTAAGAATATTTTATTTCTCTTTTGCAGGTTTTATTAACGAGGAAAGCTAAAACCACTTTGGCAGTTTTATTAAAACAACATTGTATAACTTTCATGGTTTCCATTTCTATCACTAGCTTTGCTTTGTGTACCATTCTTATCATTAGTTGTGAAGTAAATTACCTTAGGGAAATAGCGGTGATTGTGTTTGACAGTTTGTAAAATTATAGATAGCTTCGAACGACAACAATATAGGTTAAATTTTGGTTATACATAAATTTTTGTTGAGGTTATGAGTTTTCGACGAATTTAAGTGATATGATGAATTGACAATAATTTTCCAACATCTTAAATTCTAAATATTTATTGTAAAAAAAAAGTAAACCATCTCTTCATGTGTGGTCAACCTTTGTCTCAATTACAATTTACAACCACAATAAGCAAAAGTGATAAATCTTGAATGTTTCGGCCAACGGGCCGACTCCAAGCTAGTTGTAGAAAGACACTAGGTAAATCAATTTATTTTATTTATAATTTTATTTTGATATGTGTTTGATTATAGCCATCCACCCATTGCACTCGGGTTGTCTGGGAGGTAACGTATTATTTTTATTTTATTACGAGCACACCATCTACGCCAAAAGCAGGAGACACCTATCAATAAGACGTTCATAGTGACATGTATATTTGTCAGAAATAATGTCAATTGTGGTAATATTTATGAAACAAATACACTTTTCGATGTCTAGTTGTCACAAATAATTACATGCTTGCACTACAAGAAAAAAGAGTTTCAGCTACCATTTTCTTGGCAACCATAGAAAAATGGTTGCTTATAACCAAGTTTCGACAACCATTCACAAAATAGTTGGTAATGCCAAACTCTAGTGCAACCATTAATAAAATAGTCGCTGGTAATGGCCAGTTGATGCCTCAGGAAACCCAAACACTAACGACACAAATCAAACGTACCCCGCGGCAGAGCGCGGACTAATTCCTAGTATATATCAATAGTCATAAAAGCATAGGATCGTTTTACTTTGTATGATTGTATCCCTTGATAATAACAAAATGGATAAGATACAAAACCCACCACTAAAACAACATATCTATAACTATCAGTGTTGTCAAGTCAAAATTGATTATTGTCTATTTTTTTCTCAGTTTATGATAATATCTCAAAATTAAAATTTGAAACATAAGTGGCAGCTAAGCAGTAGAAAGGGATATAAAGGGATGGGGTTTTGGAAGAGAAACGGAGGGGTTTTGGAAGAGAACCTCTTTATTATATGTTTGTTACTTTGTTAGGATATAAAGGGATGTGCTAGAGTTTTAATTTGAGAAGGAAACTTATTAATTTGTTAAGTAAATAAGAGATAAAATTTGGTGCAACTAAAATCACGGCATATCTTTTCTCCTTCCCAATGTTGTTACACGGTTTAGTTGAAATTTGGGTTCATCTCTTTTTAATTCTTTAATATATTATTTTATTAATTATATATTATAATGATTATTTTTTGCAACACAATTTGGTAAAATGTTGGGTAAACTGTACTCATCTTGATCTTTGTGGGTTCATACGCAACCCTTGTGATTTATGTTGGGTTCACCCTTGATCTTTGTTCTTCTTTGTTAATTTTGTTAACTACAACAAATCAAAAGTTGGTTATTTGAATGAAATTTGTCAACCTATTACTAAAATTTTGTTAACTATTTTATTGAGTAATAACATAGCAACTAAATTAAGTGATAAATTTAGTAACTAAATTAACTCCTCTCAATTCCTACATCATTATTAACTACCTCAGCAAAAAAGATAAACTCATTTTAGTTTTGAGTTTGTTGGACCAAAGTAACAACAAAACACACGAGAATGGAATAAATTAAAAAAAAAATAGAAGAATTTTCTCACTAACCAGTCGTATAATCATAGAGCTCCATTTAAATTGAACTTCCTTTTCTGTTTGGAATTAATGAAAAAAGAATAACAAAATTTCTATAACAGCAACCCACGTTCTCTCTCCTTTTCCTCCCAAATCTTTTTTTTTTTTGACAAAATTTTCCTCCCAAATCGAAGGAGAGCTTTCTACAGTCTATTTTCTTTCCTCTTTCCTCTCCTCCCTTACTGTAGTTGCCTTAAAAAACGGAGGAAACGTTTTTGGTACCCGCGCTTTCTGTCCCCTTTTTCCTTCCCCTCCCCTTTCCGCCCTTACTGTCAAAAAAAAAAAAAACAAGTTGCTCAATAAAGTAGCGAGGGAACCAAGGTACATGCAATCCTTTGCTGAGAAGATTAGTCGAACAGAGTCTTGTCTTTTCCAATTCTGTGCTTTCTGTCCCCTTTTTCCTTCCCCTCCCCTTTCCGCTATATATTAATTCTCAAAACCATTCTTTGTTGAAGAGTCGACCCATTCCCTTTCTCTTTGTGGTTCAAAACTCTCAAAAATTCTCAAAATCCCCCCGCTTCCATCCGTGTTTTCACCTGCAATTCTGCAAATGTCGACGGCGAAACCATCTTCTTCGTGGATGGCCCAATTCAAACCGGGCGAGGGGGTCGAGGTCAGCTCCAACGACCGCGGGTTCCGCGGCTCCTGGTACGCCGGCACCGTCGTCCGCCGCGAGGCGAAGAACACCAATCGTTACGTAGTCGAGTACGACCAGCTCTACGCGGACGAATCTGGGGAGAAGCTGCTGCAAGAAACCCTCGATTAGGTTCAATTGCGTCCGCCGCCGCCGCCTCCCGAGAAGAAGGTCCAGTTCAAGGTCGAAGACGAAGTGGAGGCCTTCTACAGCGACGGCTGGTGGGAAGGGGCTATTATTGCGGAGCACTCCGGCGGGAAATTCGCGGTGTTCCTCAGAGGCTTTGACGAGCAGATTGTGTTGGAAGAGAAAGATTTGAGGTTGCCTGTTCAGTGGGTTAAAGGGAAGTGGGAGCCGCGATTCGAACAGGTTCAGCGGGAGAAAGAGGTGAGCTAATTCGATTTTATGACTTTTCCTGCTCCGTTGCTTGGTATAAAAATTTTAGGGAATTTTGAATCTCGATCTAGTTAGGTTGAGGAAAGTAGAGAATGTTGGGTATTAGCGGAATTTTTGGCTCTTGTTGCTTACAAACACAGAGATACAGAGACTTCTTTCTGTTTTTTATGTCTCTTCCCCATTGCACTATGACACACCCCATGCATACATATATAATACACAATTGAAGGTGATTAGGGGCTGTAATTTTTGACCTTTTGACTGTGGGTTTCAGGTTGCTTTCTTGTGCTGGCTTGTGAACCGCTTCTTGTTTTGTTTGGTTCCAGCCTCCCACTTTTGACATGGTTTTTTTCTTTTGGTGTGGGTGCGCAGGGGCTTTTCGGTTCGCCTACCCCCCTTGTTCTTTTTGTTCTTTGGGTTTGTTTTTACTTAGCACGTCTTGTGCTGCTGGTCCCTTTTGTTTCTTGTACAGACTCTTTCTTTTTCTTGTTTTAATGCAATCATCACCATTATAAAAAAAAAATAATACACAATTGAAGAAGAAAGATACTAATAGATTTACCCCATATACTCAATGCAAGTGAGCCCTCTTCCATCGTCATCTTCTCTTCCACGATACAACACAACACATGCATGAGTTAATACCAAATCCAATCATGTTCTCATGCATTGATATAGCCTTATCAATTTTGTCTTCAACTTCCAATCCACTTGCTGCAACTTGCTTGAATTAGTTTGATGATGTCTCTTACATGTGCTCTTGTTCTTCACGTCAACATTGGGGTAGATATTGATAATTGATCAATCAATAATATTAGGCCTACCATGTGAAGTGTTTTGGGGTAAATTTATTGCAAATTACCTTTTAACAGAGAATTGGGTGATCAGAGATGGCATTTGTTCTTTTTCACAATGTCTGAACCTCGTTGAATCGCTTCATAAACATGCAGATGTGGCTAAACTCAAACTTTTCCAAGGAAGTGATGAAGTTCACTCAAGGAATGCAAGTCGAGGTGCTAACTGACGAAGACGGTTTGAAAGGTGCTTGGTTTGCTGCAACAATTATTGAACCTTCGGGTGAAGACAAGTACCTTATTGAGTACAAAACCCTGAGGAATGATGATGATACTGAGTTTCTCAGAGAAGTCATTCGTGCTTGCAACATAAGGCCTTGTCCGCCGGAGATCATTGTTGTGGATGGATTCAAGGTGTGGGATGCAGTAGATGCTTACTACAACGAGGGCTGGTGGGTTGGCGTGATTGCAAAGGTCTTGATCAACTCCAATTACGAGGTTAACTTTATAGAGTATGATGAGAAGACAACGTTCAATCTGGCTGGTTTGAGGCCACATCAGGACTGGCTAAACGGCAAATGGGTTGTTCCTTAAGATTTCTGAATTTTATGCTCTCAATTCTCAAAACAGTACTAGCTTTTCTAGTAAATGATATTAGTTGTAGGGGCCTGCACTCAATGCATCTCTTTCTATTGTGTTTCTTTTGTATGGGATTATGTTGGAATGAATCTTATCTTTTGATGTTGAATGCTCCTATTGCTTGTTCAAAATGATTTGTGTACGGACTCTCATCTCATGTGAGAGATCACCATTGTTTCTCACTAGCTTTAATGGCGGCCCGTTGGCCCGATTGAATATTGTCCACTCAAATGACAAACAATTACTCATTTTTAATTGTCAAAGATTAGCCAGAGTTATCAATCAAACATGCCAAACTTCCGATAAAAAAAAGTTTCATACATAGCAAACTGGATGTGTTCTGTACTTCGAATAGTTGAGAACTCGTCTCCCTGGCTTCAATTTGGCAATATCCATAAATCCTATTTCGGGAAGGATTTGACATGACATTTCTGTGTTGGCCTATTTGGGGCAGTCTGTGAAGCACGACAACTTAACTCATAGAGGAAAGTCTAGAATCTTGGATGAAAGTGCAGCACCAGAAGCTTCATGTTTGCATTTAAAAGTTGTTCTCAAATGGAAGACAGTAAATTAGCGCTTTCCTATTGTGGAAATGCCATATATATTAGTTATAAGTTTCTGCGGTGCCATGCTTCATCAATACCTAGAACTCTAAAAGTTACAAAAAATTAATAGAAAAACAACAGTGTTGGGGTGCCCATGTTTCCAATATCACTACCCGGACCTCTTAAGTTACAAAAACTTAATAGAAAAACAACAATGTTAAATTAAAAGGAACTAGTTGCAGCATATACATGATCCTCTACTTCCTGAATGGATTTAGATCGTATGATGTTGGTTCAATAAAAAACTAAATACGAAAATCTAATTAAGGCATGCCCAAATACTACATTAAACCCAATAAACACACAGCAGTAGAGCCTTCAAATTACTTGAATATTAATTTATTACTCGATTTGAATAATACGATATTCCGATTAATTACTTGAATATTAATTAATTACTGTTTGACAATTTTTTCCAAACCTCTGTGATGGATGAACCTTGAAATTGGAGTGGCACAAAAAGTGTTAAGTACTAATTAACTAATACCAGTCGAAGAGTACCGCTAATTATTTATGCTCAAGTTTTATCCTCCTTCCAGAACCAATGCGCGTGCCGCGTGGGAGAGAAGGGTTGTGAATGGGCTGGGATTGAGAACACATGGCTAACATGCATTGTTTCCTTTTTTTCCTACTAACATAACTAGCACTGAATCCGGCCCGTTGACCGGGAGAGATTAGACCAAAAATAAAGATACAATAATAGATTTAATAGATCCTCGAAAATGCTATTAGTTATCTTTCTATACATAATGTACTTAGAATATAACTAACAATGTAACCTATAATTAGACTCATCAAGCGGTCAATGCACAATTAATTAAATACTGTGATCTGAAAATTTGAGGAAAAAGAACTAACAATCAACATTTTATACATCAACTTATCTATTGCAAATTTGTATCATATTGCTACCTTTTAAATTTTGATAAGTGAAAATTGTAAGGTTAGTAGAGGTGGCCAAGGAATATATTTTACAACTATGTGTAACTCATACAAATATGAAGAAAAATAATGTACGGCAACATTATTTTCTTACATTAGTTAGTATTATATTCTTGCAACACATCCTTGAAATAACATTTTTCTTACATAAATTATCAAAATTCATTCATTTATCCTTTATATACAACATATATTATAATTTTCACGTTGATGTGAATGTGATTGTTTTTCCTTCATATGAAAACCACCTGTCATCCCAAATTACCAAAAGCCTACAAAAGTACAAATTAAAATGGAAAAAGAATGATCAAAGAAAAAAGATAGTAGAGGTAGCCAAGTGGCATCCTTCCTCTTAAACGTGTACAACATGCATATATTTAATTTACTGCATCCCCTGGTTATAGTATGGAAGGTCCTTCAAATTCTCACTCTCTCTCCAGCCCTCATTATCTAGCTTCTCTTCTCACCCATCCTCGGCCTTATTCACTCATTCAAAATGCTGAAGGGGGGAAGGGAAACCCGAGATGGGATGCGGGAGGTGATGGTGTAGAGAGGAAGGCCCAGTTCGGGCCCAAATTGGCGGGGTGGATAGCCCGGCTGACACAACAACAGAAGGTCTGCATATTAAAACGCACAACATCTGTAAGTTTGGGATGGAATTGTCACAAATACCCTTCCGTGAAACGCTCTCCTGCCACCAAATTCAAAATACTGAAAAATGAAACCTTGTTTTGCCTTTATATAGTTTGTAGAGATAGATAGATAGATGTAGACTCGTTTTTAAACAAAAAACAGTGAGGGAAAATGGGCCAATGGGGGATGGTTAGTTGGTCCCTATGTAAACAATGGGAGTTTCTTTAATCAATTTAATTTCCTATAGTTTAACACGTTGTAAACAATGAGAATACCAAGATCTGTTGAAAACGTTGTATGTCGTAAATTAATCTTGTATTACTAACCACGTTGTGTTAGAATTAAGCGTTGAAATGTTGCATTTTACAATTGTTGAATACGTAAACACCCTATGGGCAGTGGCTGAGCCACCTCTTGAGGAGAGGGGTCATAGGACTCAGTTGGGAAAAAACAGGGCAACAAAATTCTTCAGATATGTAAGGTTTAATATGATCCTTTGAATTTAGGACCTCATACTTTCGTTCATGTTAGCTCATCTAAGGACACCAATTAACTCAAACTTCATTAGATAAACGGAATTTTGCATTTTGAAAATAAAAAGGAGCCCAGTCAATTTAATGTATGGCTACCACACTCCCTACGACATACAACTCTACCAATGTTAGTATGACAACAACCATAAAACACAATGCTTGCTTTCGTACACAATAATTCAATTCTATTCAACAACTTATTTGGGCGACAAATGATCCCCAATTCGCATTACACTACATATCTAGGATCCCAAACCAGCCTTCTTGAAATTTGAGCTAACCTTGCTTCGAGTAGGAAGACATATCCATTGCATTGATTTTCATATTATCAACCCTCTTGCCTAAACTACCTTGGATATGTTTCTAAGTTCTATTTATTTGAACTTGGTTAAGTGTTAATTTGTGTTCTTTTCATTTATGAAATACCATTTGTTGCCTTTGTGAATTATCCATTTCTATTTTTTGATTTGTGTTAAATTGGTTTGGCAATTGGCAGTCTCACTACATTATCTCATATAATGAATGGAAGAGATTTGGGACTAGAATACATTAATAGTAGCACTGTTATGTAATTCTTACGTTGTAATAATTCAATGGAATTAAATAAATACTTTTGTAATAATAATAGAGGGAAAAATGAAAAAGGACTAATTTGTTCAAAGTACCATAACTAAATTAAATTCATATTTTACATCAAGTACCACCTCAAAAGGATAATAAACTTACAAAAGATAGTTGCGTTCACATATCCATTACGCTTACATATCCAAATAAAATCACATACCCTATAAAACATATTAATGGAATTCCAACATTTTATCCCTGATTTTAAACGTACCCTAAAGACAAACCAAGTTATGTAGCCAGCCTTAATTGACAAATGTGTGGCATTTTCTAAATCAATATAGTGTAACAAGCATTAAGAACACAACTACATTAAGAACACAAATACCAATTGCTTCTACACAACATTTAGGATGACAATTACGTTTACAGAAACCTTTTGCTTCTCATACCAATGTCGATTAATTTCCTACCATATAATAACGTGATGCAACATAAGAATAACCAATATTAGGTTCAGTACGACAATCACTATCAATAAAGCTCGAATTACATGGATTTCATGATTAACTCTCCTTCATTCAGCTAGCATAATTTCATGTGCCTTCATCCATCTTGATAGCTCTTCAGCCAAAAGTTTCTTCTCCTTCTTCCTCCTTTCCGCCTTACACTCAGCTAGCCTCAAACTTTCTTCAATATTCAAAGTCGAACACCCAATTTCAGAGTCATGGTGCTTATCTTCATCGACATTCATTCGCACCCACCTAAAAAAACGACAGTTCTTCTTCTCGTCCTGCACCATACGAGCATTTAACTTAGAACCCACATCAATGACAATTTCAAAACCCATATCTAAACACCTTACCATCCAAAATGGACACCCATAGAACTGTCTTCCTGGGTTCGCTTCGGTTCCAGATGTATTCACCACACATGGCTTCTTGTGCCAACAGAGTACCGCCCCTCGGCTATTGATGCTAGTCGAAGTTGAGGAAGATGCTCGCTTGGACATGGCTGACATTCGCGTGAAGTTCCGGCCAGGAGAAATCGCGATTTCGGGGTCGCGAATCGGCCGAGCAGAAGTGGGATTTGGGGAAGAAGGAAGAAGCGCCGAGTCGTTCAGAAACTAGAAGAAGATTTGGGGAAGAGGAGTAAGCATCGATCAGCTTCGTGTATCTCCTTCGTGGGGAAGAGGAAATTTGGGAAGAACCCTAATTTCGTTTTCTAGAAAGAGATGGAGAAGAAGGAAGCCCTAATTTCGTTTTCTGGAAATAGATGGGGATTTTTGGTAGCCTCGTGCGATCAGGTAGATGGGGAAAGTTTTAAATTTTTTTAATAATAAATAAATTATTAAGATGACGTGTCAATTTTTGCTTTGTTGTCGCTGACGTGGTTGATGATTTGGCGCCTCTTCAGCGAACCGTCAAATAAGTTGACGGAGTTATTAACGCCGTCATAATTTCTAACGAAAATGGCTATATCTGCCACGCAACATTAGGGGTGAACAAACATACCCGCAAACCGACCCACCCGTCCAAACCGACCCAACCCACCCGTATTTATCGCTAAAACAAAGATTTTGGGTTGGGTGAGGGTTTTGTTTTGTACAACCCGCCTCTTTTGGGTTGGGTTTGGATTTTGGATTACACAACCCGTAGAACCCGACCCAACCCGGGTTTAGGGTTTTAGGGTTTAGTGGTTTAGGGTTTAGGGTTTAGGGTTCAGGGTTCAGGGTTTAGGGTTTTAGGGTTTAGGTTTGATTTTTTCCAAACCGTAGTGCATGGGTTGGGTGATAAAATGGCTAAACCCGGACCACCCGACCCATGTACACCCCTACGCAACATCTTTCAAAAGTGGCTATTAGTGGTATTTCGCCAAATGTGGCTATAAGTGGCACAAAGTTGGAAGTTTTGGCTATGCAAGTGTATTTTGCCTATAATTTATAATGACCGTTAGATTAGATCTACGGTAGAGAATCATACACGTATTCATTCCATAGCCTAACTCCGATTTAAAACTAGATCGTCTAACTGAAGCATGCCCTCACTATCAAATTGTATCGATTAAGATTTGCTATTGCTAATCTCAATAATCCAAATTGTACCAAATAAGATTTGCTATTGCTAATCTTATTCAGTTATGATACATTTCCCAAACACTACAAATAGGTTTTAGTTAGAAGGCCATTAAAGATTTGCTATTGCAAACCTTAAATTGAAACTAATTAACATTTTATTAACAATGTTTTAACCAGGACAAAAACTGGTGTCTACAAGTAGTATGGAAGGTTTATTATC